TTCTGTTTAGTTTATACAGCAAACGACATAGATTTTTTATTTTATTTTATTTTTTAATTGCCAAGGAGTGTCTTAATTTGTGATAAACGTACTGCAACAGCTCAAAGATAAGAGTTTGTCCACCGTAGTTCACCACCATGCAACAATTGATTACCCTGCCTTCATAAACTACTGATAGTGTATATCCCACACCCTTTCCTTGGGTTGAATATGGCCTTTATCAAACTGAGGGGGGTTGTGGGGGTTTTTTGTTTTGTTTTTTTTGTTTGTTTGTTTTAACGTTTAAATGTGTTGCATGAGGCAAAATAGACAACATGCTCGTGGTAAGTGTAACGTTTGTTCAAATTTGCGTATTTCCCTGAAACACTGGGAAGAAAATGAAAGCTTGACTATCGGAGTGAGTTTCCGAGAGAAAAATCCTGTATTCGTGATGATAATTAGAGTAATAATAAATAAAAAATATAAAAACACTAAATGTGTCAAAGGGTGACAGCGGGACAGTGCAGGATCTGTGAATAACTTGAAGGGGATCTAGGCAGGTAGGGCAGGATGACATCTATATGATTTATTTTTATTTTACTCAGAAGGAACTTGGCTTGAAGGAGGGGGGCAGAGAACAAACATGAGAGAGAGAATGACCTGAGAGGGCCCAATAAAAAGTCAAGGATTATTTTGAACTATAGATCATGCAAAGCCGCTTTAGTGGAATCCGCTTCTATGTAAATATAGTCTGAAATCTTTATGATCGTTCCCCGTTAACCTTTGTGTCCTGTTTGGATCAAATTTGAGTTGTTTTGACACACAAGGTTTCCTCACTACTGCTTCGAAAGTGCTAGTAGTTTGTAGACTAGCTGCTAATGTTGATAATAAATGTGGGCTTTCTATCATTTAACAATGAAGACAGTGGCTAATGAGAGGGTTATACATGGGTGTCTAATAAATCCCAACACTTTTTCCTTTTGATAGAATTTATTTTAAATCATTTCTTGTATATTTTTATGTTTTAAACGGGGCATGAAATTGTGTGAAAATGGATGTTATTCACAGAAAAATGAGTGTTATAAATCCTAGAAAATCCACTCTGTATTCTCTGAAACTTAAATTAATCATCCATTCATTTATGTCAGACTATTTATACATTCTAAGAAATCTGTTGGTCAGATTTACGTGTCAGCACTGAGAGAGTGTCTGTGAAGGAGTTCTTGGCCAATACTGTGAAAGCATGAAGTATGAACAGTACGTAAAGGTTAAACACCTTCCTAACTCGTCACCACGAGGACAGAAAGAAAAACAAATATCAGGCTTAAATAGGTCTGAAAAATGTATTTCTCTTGATATTGTTGCTGGGCTCTTTTTCACGCATGCACACTGCCATCTTTGACCTACAGCACCTCTACCTTTTGCCCCATAGCCTCAGGACCTTAATGTCATTGCAGTAAATGCAAATAGTCTGCAAACAAAGTCAAAGTCACCACAAACCAGTGCAAATACCGAAC